AGGGGGGGTTGTGCCCAAGCCCCTCCAGCCAGTAAGAGGGAAAACGACAGCTTTGTTGGAGGGAGGCAGGGAGTGTGGCGTTTCTGTGTTCCCTCCTTCCCCTGCCTCGGTCCTACAGAGGTTGTAGTCTGAGCCATGCCTCTATCGCAGCTGCTTCAGCTTTTGGACAAGCAGGAGTCCCTAGCCCCTCTTCTCTAGTGCTGCTTACGGAGCAAAGGCCCAAAACTCCGGCAAGCTGAGCCCAGCAATCTTGCCTTTCCCTCTGTCCGGCAGGCCTGACGTGCCGATGCTTCTCCTTCCCATGCCAGCTCTTCTTGGAAGAAGCTGCTATGCAGAAGTTGAACAAAAACCTCGCAGTGCTCTCCTTAAGTTTGAGAAATGACCGAAGCTGACCGCGGCCTGTTGAGGGCACCTGGCTGCCCCTGAAAGACAGGGTGGCCTTGCCTCCGGCACGGGAGCCAGGGTGGGTCAGACAGAGCTAGGGCATCACCCTCCCATCTGCATCTGTCACAAAATGGTTATTACCCCTGTAGCTTAGGTCTGTCCCACGTCACCAAGCCTATTGCTGCCCTCTTTATGCCCCTCCCAGTGCCCTCACCAGTTGCACAGCTAGGCTTGAGTTACATTTGGGGCACCACCGTCTGGGCTCGTGCCCCATAGCCCAACCCTCCACTCTAAAGAAGGTCATGAAGTGATTGTACCTAGTACTGTCCCCCCACCGCCCTCCTTCCGCAGCAGACTGTGGCATGTGTCCATTTCCTCTCTTTGACGTCTTCCATATTGTATGTTTCCATAGCAATGATCCCTTGGCCTTAACTTTGGAATTTGGAGACTATATGCAAACATGTAAAAAGGCTCATGAGTATGGATGACACTGGAATTTTATAAATTCTAAAATAAAACCTGAAACAGCTTAGAGTGTCACGGATATTATTTCTACTGGTGGGTTGAGATCCACAGCAGCCCTTTGCTTGTCTGGGTTCAGCCCGCTTTGAGGAGTTCCAGCTTACGTGCGTGAGCCTCTGCTGCGGTGCAGCGAGTGGCTGGGTCGAGGGAGGAGACGAGAGCAGCGGTGGCTGTGCCCCCCTCGCAGGGAGCCACCGACCTGCTCCCACCTGAGGAGGTTGGGGCCGGGGACGCTGCCGGTGTAGGGGAGGAGAGGGAGGCACTAACCCTGGTCCCTCTTGCTCACCTCCTCCATAACCAGAGCCTCTCATCTGCCTGCTGCGGCCAGCACCACTGCACAGCACCCGCTAGCCCGGGCCAGGCTCCTGCTCTGCAACAGGTGAAGCTTGGCCCGGGGGCTGCCGTGCCGGAGGGTCACAGCACACCTCTCAAGTCCACCCAGTGTCTCTATAGCTCTTCCCCTCCCAGCAGCAGCTCAGCCATCCCCACTGTACCTGCTGGCACTGGCAGGAGCAAACCCTCCGGCCCTGGTCACATCCGGCAGAGGCCGCAGCCCTACCCGCTGCCCTGCGCTGGCTGAGCACAGCCCAGGGACGCGGCATGGCCTTTAAGTCACTCCGTGCCAGGTCATTTACGCAGCAGTGGAGTTACCTTGCAGTAACGCCGAGAAGTTTGGACAAACGCTCAGAGCCAGCTGCGACCCTCCCTGCCTTTAGCAGTAGCCATCCCCAAACGCCTGCATGCCAGCCGGGCAGGGAAGGCATGCCCACTGCCCTGTGGCTCCAGGCGGGCCCGAGGAGGAGGTGGTGGGTAGCCCTTGGGTCCCAGCCCTGTGCCGTGGGCCTCGGG